TTTATTTTCCTGTGATCTATAGAGATCCGATAAAAATTTCAATCAATTATAACCCTACCGTTTGAAATATGTAGATATGGGAAGTATTTCAATAAGAATTAGACTAAATGTCGTTCACGCCTTAAATATAGGAACTTATGTTCACACATGAAATTCCTCCACTGCTTGAAAACTGGCCTAGGCCTACATCTAGGAAGAACAGAGGCAATTCGCACACAGCGAGTGCTATCATTCAGGTACGGGATGAGAAAGGCTCCTGTGTATGAACATACCTAACATCAGGGTCGGTACGATGTTAACAACGCTCCACCACAGGACGTTCAAACGGCATGCTTCTAAATTACGACGTACAAACTTATGGTTGCTGTCAAATTTTCATCTATGAAAAATGTTTTCTATTGTTGAATTCACAAAATTATTGTTACGTTCAATTAAACGTATGATATTTTCCAGTATATTTAACAAGGTATGTAAAGCTTAGTATCCTAATCGCGTGCATTATAATAGACTTTTCACATCTTTAGGACAGAATCACAACCGCGGTTTCGTTCTTTCTATTACATGCATCACTTACGCCTCCACTTGTAAAGCAAATGTAAGGGAAGCGCCAGATGTTACCGAGTCCGACTGCACAGCCCACACAGCTCAGGAAGAAATCCAGCGATCCTGTCCAGTTGCCACGAGCTTTATTCTCATCGCAGCTTCTCGATGACTGAATCACTCCATTCTCTGATGATTTACCTGACACTATATTTTCTCCTGCCATCTTGCACAAAATTTGAAGATTCCCTGCAAGTAGGAAAAGATGTTAACGTTTATTGACGCGTAGACGAGTGTGTACACGGCGTTTATAATTGCAAGACATTAGCAGACAACCTGTAAGCTGTTACTTATTAAAGATCAAGCAATCTTTCCCGAATGTTTGGCCTATAAATATTTTCTGAATTCTTACACGTATCTGCACGGATTATTCCGCCACAGTGCTATAATTTTACCTTTTTACAACAGGCGTTATTTTACCGACCGCAAGCGCAGGAAGCAGCGCGAGTGGACTATGCTCTGTTCCGGCTGTAAACGTCTATACTATTCCTGCGTTTCCTCTGTATGTCAGTTATAACTGTGGAAAATCTATTGACGGCTTCAAGAAAGACCTGCCTTTTAGTTTGTGATTTCATTGCATTGGGCAGAGATTTCAAAGCGAGCTATCAGCTAACGATACCATTGAGTGTGGAACCATGTCGCTAAATCGTGATACGGTGCTGGGTGTAAAAATACTAGAGTCCCTTAATTTATAGAGATATATATTATAGATTATATATAGTGTCTAGCCAGGTACTTTAAAAATATCCCATTATAGCGCGACCTATATTCGCAAGAGAATTTAGAGACAGTTGCAACCGAGTCTACGCCATGCGTCGAAAAACACGGCGTTTAAAATACCCAAACTCGATAAAGACTGGATTGTCAAGATTTTTTATGGCCACAAACAACGTTATCGTTATGTCAGTTATAACTGTGGGAAATCTATGTGACGACTTCAATGAAACACCTGTCTTTTAGTTTGTGATTTCCATTGGCGAGATTTCGAAGCGAGCATCAGCTAACGATACCATTGAGACAGAGTGTGGAACCATGTCGCTAAATGCGTGATACGGTGGCTGGTGTAAAAATACTTGAGTCGCTATATTATAGAGATAGAGATTATAGATTATATATAGTGTCTAGCCAGGTACTCTAAAAATATCGCATTATAGCGCGACCTATATTCGCAAGAGAATTTAGTCTACGCCATGCGTCGAAAAACCTATATAGAACCTACGACCTTATGACCTTATTCGGCGATCTGTCTAGCCTCCAAAAGGTCGTGTCAAATGCCCGTGGTCGATAATCTGTTTTATAAGCAGCAATTAAAAAGCTCGCTCTCGCTGTATGCCATGATTACCTACGCACGCGATGGTTTGACAATCATTGCCTTCCACTATTTTGAAATTGTCCACAACTGTCCACCATTGTCCGTGTACCGCCGTAATCCGTTAGAATGTCATATTTTTACGTCTACACGTGTTTATTTTTGCCGAACAACTACCGCATCTTGCTCCAATCTCTAAAAGGCACTGTCAAATAGCCATTATTATACTGGAAGAATGTCGAGACCTCGAAATCTTGTAGGATTGTCATAGAGTAGAGATTGTAGCACGGTACAATCTCATAGAATCGTGGCAGGTATGCGTTCCTGCCGATGTTTGTAGTGCATGACTGTAGCGTGCACGAGATCTTGCAGCAGGCGTAGAGATTGTAGAGCGAGACGGTATGTAACGATGGTGACTTTATTAGTAACTTAACACATACAAAATATATACATATAGACCTACATACTACATCCTAGCCGCCCTCACAGCTCTAAAACTAAACCGACAACCTTAAAAACAGCCTATGGCGTAGTCTATGGCCTCGGCTAGGTAGTAATCATATAGCAATGCATTAAAATGTTAATTAGCTTTAAAATTAAATTATCCTATTTCATATCAGAAACTCTCTAACTAAAACGACAACCTTATAATAAAATAAAAACTGGCGCTTATTATCTGCGCTATATAAGGTACATTAACTACTATTAATGGTGGTACTCACCTTAACGTGAGGGGTATAGACAAATGAAGGGAGGAATGTTTGCGCGAACAGCAAGAATGAGCCAAATATTACGGGGTTCTATTAACCAGGTGCTAAAGATTACTTGCCAAACAATAAATATTAGACGTGTCATATTTATAGCTCCAACTAGCAGGAATGGTCCGCCACCCCCCCTTCTTTTACACTTGATTTATATACGCAATCGCTAGCTGTGAAGGAGTGAAGTTTGATGATCTCTCTCTTTTTTTTCGCTCTCTCTCTCTGTCTCTGCCTCCCCAGTTTTCTCTCTCTCTCTCTCTATCATCTGTCACTGCCACTGTTTCTCTCTCTGCTGCTCTCTCTCTCTCTCTCTCTCTCTCTCTTTCTATCTCTCTCTCTTCTCTCTCTCGCTTTCTCACTCGCTTTCTCTTTCTGTATCTCTGTCGCTGTATAGCCGTGCTATTTTAAACATTTATCAAGACTAAAAATCGCACCTTTGTGATTATTTACTCCTGCATTTACTGTACCCTGGATAATAGGCTTTATAACAATCGTAATTGGACCATATTTCCGTCGCAAGCAATAGGCCTACCTGTTATATATACATCTACTTCAACGAGTGTGCGGCGTGTGTGCGTGTGCGTGTACGTGCGCGTGTACGTGAGTGCGCGTGCGCGCGCGCGTCAATTAGTGTTTGCAGCCGCAATATGCTGTCACTGCACATTAGCTCTAGCGTCTATATTTCTGATATAGAACTGCTACGCTAAATTACAGTCATTAATACGCCGTTTTAAACGACAGCGCTATCTTTATTCACGAAGTTTGGGCACAAAGACCCGACAATAGAGAGGTCGTATAGGTAATATTCTACTGTATATATAAATGCAGTGCTAGGTAGTAATCATATAGCATTGCATTAAAACGTTAATTAGCTTTAAAATGAAATTATCCTATTTCATATCAGAAATTTTTAGCGACGTGTTTATCATAACACTGTAGCGTCCACTCTGAGAGATGTGCCGGCATTGTAGGTTATGCACACATCGCAGGACGTCGAAGGTGAAAGATATATATATACCCATTGACTGTATTTATTGTAAGGTGCCCTGCATTAGTCGCATCCCTTTGCGTATTTTTTGCGTTTATCATCTGACTTGGTTATCATCGAGGTAATATAGCTATTTCAGGGACGTCTCACTGCAAACGTTGGCATTAGAAATGTGAGTAGTACCCGGAACCGTGCAAGTTTTAAGCATGCAGTTCTGTCTATAAACCGTGCACCTTCGGGACCTTAATTTGCCAGTACCGTACGTAGACCGATCCAGGCCATGTAGTTTTGTCTACAAACCTCGCCCCAAATGACCCGATATAGTATATCATAACTAGTAGGTCTCATGGGAGAGATAGTGATTCGCTAGATGGCGCATTATTAGTATAAATAAGTTGTGAATATAGAAATCAGTTAACCTGAACCTTAACCCTAATCCTAACCCTAACCCTAACCTTATCCCTAATTCTAAAATAAAACAAAATTAGCCAAAAATAATAAAAAATAAAATAAATAAGAGGCAAAATTAGCCAATCAGAGCCGTCCCCTAGCGGATCACTATCTCTCCTCTGTGCAAAATTTTATCATTACGCTATAGAGCTGCGTGTGCGTTTGCGCAGTGCCTGCAAAAATATTTATTATTTCAATAAAATTGTACATGAATGTATATTGTACATGAATAAATATGAATATATACATATGAATGTATATTGTACATGAATACATAAATTGTAGGGCCTACATTCAATGAAAAAGTAAAAGTGCGAATACTCGTCGCGGTAGCTTTTCGGGAAAATTTAATTGTCTCTCTGTAAAAATGATTTGATGCCATACTCTCCTGGCTACAGTCACACTTATGATATTTAAATCGGGCAATGTATGGCGATATGCGTCCTAAATGACAAACATACACACGCGCGCGCACGCACGAACGCACGCACTCAACTTGAGCGACTTCCGCCATATATCCAAGGACAGAGAAGACGACGAAGCCAGCAAGGAGACTGGTAGCACTGTTCACGACCGGTACCAGGTAACACTCTCTAAAGTATAACAACATATTCTGTCCACGCATCACACATTATTATCGTATATCCACAGTCCAAGCAACAAGTCATCATATATATGCTCATAAATCAATAGACATCAAATTTGGTCTTAATAGTATTAAAGCTAAAAACGAATCACTATATATTCTTTTACTCGTTTTGAACTTCGAAAAATACAGATAATAATTCAATATTCATAAGCAGTTGCAAAAGACTAAAACGAAAGCAATATAATATAAAGATACATTTAGTGCATTTGTTTGATTTGGGTACGGTGTAACAATAGCTCATACATTAACATGTTGTTGTGGAAACGGTTGTATGATGCCATCGTAACCACAGTACCCCAGCCTGGTCCGAGTGAGTAGAATATCTGCACAAAAGCCAAACCCCAAACCTGAAATATAAAAGTCGACAAGATATTATATCAAGTTATAATTTGTATACAGGTAGTGTTTCCGTAATTGAGATGTAGCATAACTACTGACGCAACTTTTTAATCGTATAATTACTAACAGTCATTATTGGTGAGCTGAGGTTGTCACACCTCTCACCAGCAGTATAAGGAGAATCACATAAGGGAAGGTAACGGTAAAGTACACCACCTGCACAAATCAAAACAATACAAAACAGAGTTCATCTGGACGTGTGTGCTTTATAAATAGCACATATATCGCAAATTAAATGACAATATCGCAAATATATCGCACATATCGCACATATCGCACATATATCGCAAATATAACAACAATATCTGAAACCATCTTAGACTGTTTCACAAACTTTGCGCGATGCCGCTAATTGTACCTTTCCCGTTGATTTGATGCCCTTAGAGAGGCAGACAAAAACGATGAAGCAGCCAATGCAGTAAGCGAGCAGCAGCTTCCAGTGGAAGCCACCAAGGTCGTGAAGTCCTTCAGAGATCTCCAATATAAAATTGCTGCATGTCGAGTTTAAAAAATGGTAGTTTTAATTTTAAAGAATGTGATGCGAGCACGTATAGCTCGACCAAATGTTGAAAAAGAATTAGCTAGATGTTTATTGCATATTGGGATAAGAGGTATATGGAACACCTGTCGAGCATAGAGGATAACCAATATAGAATATTATAATGCGCTACGTAGTGGAATATATTAAGAGCAAAAGAACAAAGCAAAACTATCACGTACTAAAAGAATTCCTCCGTCGCCGACGAACTCCTGGTTACGACCCCGCTGATGTTAGCTGTGCCCGCGTCTGCTGTAATGTTGTCCATCATGGCGTCTACAAGCTGCGACTGGTTAGACTCACCGGACATGTTAGAGCTGCCGAGGAGATCGTAGCCACGCTGCAGACATGCGGCAGTGTTCCACGGATTCATGCACGTCTCCCACGGCAATAGCTTCGTTAAGGACATCCCCAAGTAGAAGAGGATGTAGGCCATGATCAGGTTGTATAGGACGCAATACAGCACTGACACCAACATCATTCCGAAACCGACACCTATACATTTGAGAACGAACAATCTTTCAATATTTAATTAGAGAGATCTATGAATTGAAGACTAACTATAATCCTACCTGAAAGGAAAATAAAGTTAATCTGAGTTAGTTCTATAATATTATAATTATTTATTATTATTGATTAATTATTATGAATCCAGCTCAGATTAACTTTATTTTCCTGTAAACTATAGAGATCCGATGAAAATTTTCAATCAATTATAACCCTATCGTATGAAAATATGTAGATATGGGAAGTATAATGCGTTTGAAGGGCTGCTATTACGTTTTAACTCCGCATAGGCGTTTCAATAAGAATTAGATGAATGTCACTCACCTTTAAATATAGGACTTATGTTCCACATTAAAATTGCTCCACTGCTTGAAAACTGGCCTATGCCTACATCCAGGAAGAACAGAGGCAATCCGCACACAGCGAGTGCTATCAGGTACGGGATGAGAAAGGCTCCTGTGTATGAACATACCTAACATCAGGGTCGGTACGATGTTAACAACGCCTACCAGCACGTTCAAACCGGCAGGCTTCTAAATTACGACGTACAAACTTATTGTTGCTGTCAAATTGTTATCTATGAAAATTTTTTTTCATTGTTGAATTCACAAAATTCTTATTACGTTCAATTAAACGTATGATATTTTTCCAGTATATTTAACAAGGTCATGTAAAGCTATAGTATCCTAATCGCGTGCATTATAATAGACTTTTCACATCTTTAGAACAGAATCACAGACCGCGGTTCGTTCTTCTTCTATTACATGCATCACTTACCGCCTCCACTTGTAAAGCAAATGTAAGGGAAGCGCCAGATGTTACTGAGTCCGACTGCATAGCCCACACAGCTCAAGAAGAAATCCAGCGATCCTGTCCAGTTGCCACGAGCTTTATTCTCATCGCAGCCTCTCGATGACTGAATCACTCCATTCTCTGATGATTTACCTGACACTATGTTTCCTCCTGCCATCTTGCACAAAATTTGAAGATTACCTGCAAGTAGGAAAAGATGTTAACGTTTATCTACGCGTAGACGAGTGTGGACGCGGCGTTTATAATTGCAAGACATTAGCAGACAACCTGTAAGCTGTTCACAGTGCTATAATTTTACCTTTTTACAACAGGCGTTATTTTACCGACCGCAAGCGCAGGAAGCAGCGCGAGTGGACTATGCCCTGTCCGGCTGTAAACGTCTATACGTATTCCTGCGTTTCCTCTGTATGTCAGTTATAACTGTGGGAAATCTATGTGACGGCTTCAATGAAAGACCTGCCTTTTAGTTTGTGATTTCCATTGGGCAGAGATTTCGAAGCGAGCTATCAGCTAACGATACCATTGAGTGTGGAACCATGTCGCTAAATCGTGATACGGTGCTGGGTGTAAAAATACTAGAGTCGCTTAATTTATAGAGATATAGATTATAGATTATATATAGTGTCTAGCCAGGTACTTTAAAAATATCGCATTATAGCGCGACCTATATTCGCAAGAGAATTTAGAGACACGTGCAACTGAGTCTACGCCATGCGTCGAAAAACACGGCGTTTAAAATACCCAAACTCGATAAAGACTGGATTGTCAAAATGTTTTATGGCCAAACTACGTTTGTTCTGAAGGTATATTATGCGTGAACGGAGTAATACCGCTGTAAGACCAAGATGTGGGCCATTCCGGCCAAGTTTCGATTTAACGAAGCTGTATATATTTTTTACGGCGCATTAAACAACCTGTAATGAGGAGAGCCCTAGTATTATACTATGGTACTCGAATATTATTTCTATACGACCATACTCTAGACAAAAAAATAATGTGTTTTTATATAGGGCCTACGACCTTATGACCTTATTCGGCGATCTGTCTAGCCTCCAAAAGGTCGTGTCAAATGCCCGTAGTCGATAATCTGTTTTATAAGCAGCAATTAAAATAGCTCGCTCTTCGCTGTATGCCATGATTACCTACGTACGCGATGGTTTGACAATCACTGCCCCTTCCACTATTTTGAAATTGTCCACAACTGTCCACCATTGTCCGTGTACCGCCGTAATCCGTTAGAATGCCATATTTTTACGTCTACACGTGTTTATTTTTGCCGAACAACTACCGCATCTTGCTCCAATCTCTAAAAGGCACTGTCAAATAGCCATTATTATACTGGAAGAATGTCGAGACCTCGGGATCTTGTAGGATTGTCATGTAGCACGGTACAATCTCATAGAATCGTGGCAGGTATGCGTTCCTGCCGATGTTTGTAGTGCATGACTGTAGCTATAGCATGTATTTTGTTTCATAATTCGATTTTTTTATTTATGGTTGATTTTATCACATATAACATTCACGGATCGAATGATTCGATTCACGGATCGAAT